CATTATGGCCTCAAGGCAACGCCCAAGTTGAGAGATTTATGCAACCCCTTGGAAAAGCACTCAAAACAGCCAAAATCGAAGGTCGCCCATGGAAGCAATAGCTCAATAGATTCTTGCTACAGTATAGGACGACACCACAAAGTAATACCTGTGTTCCTCCGGCTGAACTACTCTTCAATCGGACGGTACAAGGCAAGTTACCCATTCTTCACAGGAAGAACATTTTGAACCGACATAAGGAAGCTCGTGAAAATGAAAACAAGCGACAGAAGTATAACGAAAGATATGCAAACGAAAGGAGGAATGCAAAGGAAAGTGTAATCAAAGAGGGAGACTATGTGTTAGTGAAACAACCTAAGGCAAATAAACTAACGCCAAATTTCAATCAAACACCTTATGTTGTTATCTATCGGAACAAAACAGTAGTTCGAGCTAGAAATAAAGATGGACACGAAATAGAACGAAATGTTTCACATTTTAAAAAAGATACCCAAACCCAGCAAAGATAATGAAGATACGTCAGAGGAAACCGACGATTTTAGTACAGAGAATAACAATCAGCGTACTCCAGAGGAAACAGTACAGTTTAACATGAACGACCGTAATATCAACAATCGTGGTAACGGTATGAATATGCACCCACGGCGGTCCACAAGAGTAAGAAAGCAACCCGAAAGATACGGACAAACATTACCGTCTAACCTTGTTACGTGACTTTTATTAAAGTAATAACTATAGATAAATTAGTTTAAACTTGTAATATAGACACATGTACAATTTATATTTGAACAGTTAAAACATTTATGTTTTGTTAAAACAAAGGGAATGGTGTAGTGATGTCATAGACTTGAGTGACAGATATAGTCATGTGACCGGAAAGCACATGGAATCATTAGGATTAGTATTCTGTAGCGTGCAGTTGATATTAGAAATAAACTATGTAAAAGAGAATACAAATATTATATATATATATATATATAACTATATATATATATATATATATATATATATATATATATATATATATATATATATATATATATATATATATATATATATATATATATATATATATATATATATATATATGTTGACTCGGATACATTGTACACTCCGTAATATGTTAACGTGAAAATGTTCTCGAGTGTGTATTATATAATTTCCATACCCAGCGTAAGCGGAAAGATAAAGTCTGCCGCGGCTGGGTCTCGAACCCGCGACCTTCGAATTACTAGATCGTCGTAGAGGTAGAGCGTCGATCGAATAATTCGAAGGTCGCGGGTTCGAGACCCAGCCGCGGCAGACTATATCTTTCTGCTTACGCTTGGGTAGGAAATTATATAATACACACTCGAGAACATTTTCAGTTTTTCACCTTAGAGCTTAAATAATTCTTTAATCTTAAAATGTATTTGTCGCTACACTGTGTTTCACGCGGCTTTCGAAACGATCGCCTGAAGATCGCTTCGAATGAAGCGTGAAACACAGTGTAGCGACAAATATATTTTAAGATTAAAGAATTATATATATATATATATATATATATATATATATATATATATATATATATATATATATGTACTATTTAAAGCACGCGTAGGAGTGTTTTATCACATATAACACGACGCGACGCGTAGCGGGTTAAAAAACGACTGAGCTTATAAGAGTTCATTGGCGAAGTAATTTTTAAAATAAACTTTGTCTAAACCGAGAAAATCAAAGCTAAAGTTTATGTAAATTAACATGATTTTATATCACATATATAACCACGGCACGCTTATGATTTTTCTTTGTGTTTTGCTCCTGAATTATTAATGAGTTTTTTAAATATATATATATATATATATATATATATATATATATATATATATATATATATATATATATATATATATATATATATATAT